CCTTTTTTTACCATTACTTCGTTGACGCTTTCAAGTGTATATACATTTCTAGGGTGATAGAGAGAATGCTGTCTGGTTTCCCCATACTTTTTTTGTTTGAGTTCGCTTCCCATGGAGTGGTGAGGAGAATATTGTGTTGATTTCCTTATTTTAATCTTGCGGTCGTGTTGTCTGGTGGGCATGAAGTTTAGGTAGGTTAATTCCATACTGTAGGTTGTTCCTTAAATTCAACTGTTATAAGTGGCTATTTGAAAAAGGTGTTCCCATATATAAATACAATATACATAGCTAGAGTGTCTGACTTGATTAGACTTGGGGTTTCCATCCATTCATAGGATAGATAGGCTGTTGCATGAACGTTGGCGAATTTTTTTTTTTGAATTTTTTTTATTTTTTCCCTTTCCATCAAAATCTACCTCCATCGATTTTCATGTTCACTCACAACGCCTTGTTTTTTTTACCCCCTAATAGCCCCCCAAGCTTCTTGCGTATCATTACATTAATATATTTTCTCTTTGTGTTGTTTTAATGTGACCATACGGAGATACAAACAAAATCATCAAATTTCAAAATGGGCAAGTCTAAAAAGCCACGCATCGCCAATTTCCACCATCATGACCGACCCAAAAGCAGGAGCTCTTCAATCGCTATCACCCCAGGAGCTGGAGCTGGCGCGGGTGGGCCTAGAAAAATGAAAAGTTTCTCGAGAGTCTCGACGTCGACAGCGGTGTCTAAAGGGGGCCAGGGCGGTGGGAGCGCGGAGGGGGAAGCTTATCGGGAAACGAAGCACGCGAATGCACAGCGTCGGGCCCCGACAATTCCATTTCAAAAGCAAGATAGGATTTTGTTGGTTGGGGAAGGTTAGTTTTAATTCTATTCGTTTCAATTTTTGCCATTCGTTTGAAGGCCATTTTTCTGCGTAATATCAGATCCGAGTGATAAATACGGTCGAATGTATGGCTGCTTGATTCAGGATGATTATTTCCGCAGATCAACCAGATTGGAACTCGACTTCTCTGAACTGTTTAACCTAGGGCAGCCATGTATGAGGCTCCCGATATTCTGATCTTTCTATGCCCTGGGAGAAGTGAGCATGTATCACTCCTCTCTGCGCACAGTTTGACTGGCGTGTTGAGCCTGAGTATCTTGCTCTAATTCATTTCTATTCCTGTGTCTCTTCTTCTCCGTTTCAATTTACATTCCTGCATCATTTCTGGTATCATCAGCATGCTTGGAACGTGTCTATCTACCTGTTCTCGGTGGACATTTTCGCTTAAACAAGTGTAAAAAGCCATGGAGCCCTAACATCCCCAGACAGGAGATTTTTCATTCGCCCTGTCTCTGGCAACGCATCACGATTGCAAAAATCTGCTTGCCACCAGTTACGATAGTGAACAGGCACTTTATGAGAAGTATCCGCAGGCAAAGCTGCATATTGAGAAGCTTTATGCGTGTGGTTCAGAGATATCTTCCTCTCAGTCTAGGAGCTTGAAAAGGAAAAACGACGAGAATGAAGATTTTGAAGATGGAGGTAGCGATAGCGAGAAGGGGAAAGAGTTGGAAACGAGGGAGGAGGATCAGAATCTGAAAAATGAACATATAGAAAAACCCTCAGAGACACAACACGCCCGAAACCATGTCCCGAAAGTCTTGTTTTCCATCGATGCCCGTAAACTGGGCTTTGGACCTGCTGGCGGTGGCAAGACTGTTCGCAATGGATTCCCACGCTCCACCACTTTCTCCTCATGTAAAAGCAGAAGACACCATCCCCGGAAAGACATTGTTGGTTCCCTACAACAACAAAATTACCAACAACATACCGGCAGAGGCGGCCCATGGGACATAATCTGCTTCAACTTTCCTCACGTTGGCGGCTTGAGCACAGATGTAAACAGGCAGGTACGCGCGAACCAAGAACTAGTCGTCGCATTCTTTAAGGCGTGCGTCCCGCTCCTTTCGGAGCCAGTAGTACTACCGACTACGTCGCAGGGCAGGAGAGATGAGAGTGGGGATGAAGATAGCGAATGGCCTGACTCCCATTCCGACTTCGGCTCCAGCTCTGGCACAGACAATAACACTGGGACAGGAGAGAAATCCTCTTTCCGCACAACGCCGGGTCAAATTCTCGTCTCACTCTTCGAAGGCGAACCCTATACACTCTGGAATATCCGCGATCTAGCACGCCACGCAGGACTGCGAGTTGTTACTAGTTTCAGGTTTCCATGGGCTAGTTATCCGGGTTACTCGCATGCACGCACGATTGGAGAAATCGAGAAGCGCAATGGCAGTACGGGAAGGGGTGGATGGAGGGGCGAGGATAGGGAGGCGAGGATGTATGTTTTCGAGAAAGGAACCGGAGGGGTTGGAGAATGTGGTGGTGCGGAAGCGAAGAAAAGGAAGAAAGGAGGGAAAAGGCAGAGGTGGGGCAAATACCGATGATGATAGCGATTAATGGGCTCAGTTATTCGGTCTATTTGGTTTCATTTTGGTACCTTGCGAAAGAGGGAAGCCGGCTGTTTCGCAACTGTTTTTGGGAAAGTGTTTCTGGAAATGGCTACTTCTTCGAAGACATGAGGAAAATCAATTTGTGGAAGAGGTCTTTGATGATCATATATGTAGAAATAAGTAGGGATACCAATTGTTAAGAATATATGAATACCATTGAGATAAGAGTGCTAAATGGAACTCCAAACAAAGGGAAAGAAAATCCCCATTCCATCCCATCCATCCCATCCAGCCCCTAGAACGCCACGCAAAGGTACAAATAAGAACATACACACACATAGGTATCTTAGAAAAAACTATGAAATATAAACCTTCTTCATCTCTCTCTCGTCAAACTCTTCGCCCGTCGTCGGATCTTTGACCTTCCCCGGCGCCACGAAACCTGACTTCTTACACATATCTAGTAACCTTTGGCGGCCGTAGATACGTCCATTTGGCAAGACGATGGGGTCGTTCTCAACATAACTCTTAGTATGATGTGCATACGGCATGTGTCGTGCTAGCTCGTTCAATTCAGTCGAACATATCGGACACACAGATGTGGTTATTGAGTTTGGATTGGAACTGGAGGATGCGTAGGCTGAATGGCAGGATGGTGTCTTAAGCGCAGATAGGCCGGCTGACAACGCTATTTGGAGAAGGGGGCGTGAGGAGAGAGCTAAGAGGTCATGGTGGGTTCGAATAAAGAGGTTGGAGAGATATTGCCAGCGGGATGAGGAGTACATATCCTAGAGAGATGTGTTAGTTTGTTGAGCTTCAACAAAGGTGGCAAAGCATGACAGAAGTTCAAGCAATAATTTGTCTCAAACTGACCTTGTAGGGTGCCGCTTCTGTATCAGGAGAGAACACCAAGAGACCTGCCGCCCGTCGAATATCCGTCGCCTGAGTCTCGCTATGGGGTGATAGAAACCTTCTGGCATGTTGCCTTGCCTCTGTTTTATCTCCCGCCCTCACCATCTCAATATACTGTTGTAACCGTAGCTCGAACTCAAGATTGCTCTGCCAAAGTCGGCCGTTACTCTCAAGTTCATCCCAAGTTATGTTCCCGCAGCAGCCAAAAAGAACAGATGGAAACATACCTGAACCTTTTTTAATCCCACTTTATTCTCCCCACACCACGTCAACGCCTCCTTAGTTTCTCCCCTCCCCAAACTCTCCGCAATTCGCTGACACTGCACAAACACGCTCAAATCCACGAGGTCCTCAATCCCCTTCTCAGCAGCCAACTGTCTCGCACTCTCCGAATACCCAGACCGCAGCATATGGTCCACCAATAACCTATTCAGCCGTATTCGCGACCACTCCTCATACTTGACATCCGCCAAGCTCGGAATCTTATACAGGTCTTCCAAATGCTGGATGCGTTTCCGCGACTGGGTCAGGATCTTTTTCTCCTCGTCCTGCAAGGTTTCCATTTTTCGCTTTAGGCCTTGCATGCGGTTGATCATGGTGTCGAGGGCGGCAAGAGTTTGGGTGGCATCTTGCGTGCCAGAGAGGGACGCGTTTGCAGTCTCTTTTAGGTAGGGGAGGACGAAGTCTCGTTCCCGTTCGACAATGCGTTGGACGGATTTGAAGTTGCGGCGAGTAAGTTCATGCGGGAGGCGGAGGAGTGGTTGGTCCTGTTATTTTTATATTTCCTTGTCAGTTATATCAGAGATTTTACTAAGTATGCAGTGGTAGATTAGATATGCATACCAGGAGCAGGTGACTCTCCGGATTGAGCTTTATGGAGGTGAGCTCCGCAGCCATGAGGGGCTCGGTAATGTCCGCGGCGGGGATGATTACAATAGAGTTCAGCTAAACAAACAAAAATTCTCCTTCCGTAACTGCCAAAATGTCGGCCTTTAATCTGTGGACTTGATATCTAGAGATTCTTGTGCATTGTTGCAGCAGCGGAGTCAGGAGTGGAAGTGGAATGACGTTTGATGGAGAAGTTGGGGATGGGCATGTGACCACATTAACTAGCCCTGGAGGTCATTGGTTGAGTAACCCTGATATTTCTGATAATTTTTGATCTCTCCTCTGCAACACAATATTATAGAATGCAAAAAAAAGCAGCTGCAGATTCAAAGCTAAAACAGCCTCATACTGAGATATGTAAGAAACCAAAGCTGGTATTTTTTTCCTTCACGATCCTGACACATCGCAAGACAACTCAAGAAAACTTATTACCAGCCAACGGAATAGATCACACAAACATACACATAATAGACACTCTCTCACACACAAGACTCCTAGGGTAAATCAGTATCGCAATCACAGAGCACATTCAAGCGAAGAAAAAATATTGAAAAAACAGAGGACCCATAATTTCCTGGAACTCCGTAAAGGAATATGCAAATCGACAAAAATAAAACACACAACCAACGGGATCAAGCAAAGGAGAGAAGCAAGCGAATATGATACAAGAAAACCCAGGGGAAGAGAAAGAAAAGTTTTTCGAGAGCAGCTTCATCTTGCCGATTTGAGCAAAAAAAGCATATCTTTCTTTTCTTTAGCCCGCTTCGTTTACTCGCTATCATCGTCACTTTTTGCCGCTTGCTTCGATTTTCTTTTTTCCTTTTTCTCCTTCTTCTCCTTCTTTCTACGTTTCCGCTCTGCTCGCTCCTCTGGAGTTTCGCCCACGTGTCGCTTTCGCTTCTTCTCATCGTCTTCTTCAGCAGCTGGCGCGTTTCCATTGACTTGAGGGGTTGGGGCTGCTTCCTTAGAGACAGCTGGTGGAGCGGGAGTTGAAACAGAAGCGGTAGAAGCTTCTGCAGCACCACTATCTAATGGAGCGTTGAAATCTTTGTACTCAGAATTCCATTTTGCAGGGGTTTTCTCGTTCGGTCGGCCGTATTTCTAGGGGTTAGTTAGTATAAGTGATCAACTTAAATATAGGAAAGAGGGAAGAAACTAACATCAAGCTTGCCATCAGACTTGAGCTTTTTCTTTTCCAAAGCAACAGGACCCAAACCCCATTTGCGGGGGTAGAGATCACGCTCCATGATACAACGCTTCACCTTAGCCACGACACCGTGGTCGCAGGTCGAGAGCTCAACAGTGGACATTTGTGCGATAGCGATGGCAATAGCCTCACCCTTGGTGGTCATGAGGACGACTTCTTCATGGATCTCAATTCCAGATTCTACAAAAATCCCCATCAGCTTCAAAATCCCGTAAATCAAAATGTTGAGAACGACACTGTATCATCACTTACCAAATCGCAACAACCCAGGAATCATAAGCTTAGCACCATAGCACACAGCATTGACAGCACTATCCTTCACCACGATGCGCTTGTACGAGGTGAGCAAGCTCTCCAGCGGCCGAATAACCCGCCGCAGATACGATTCGTCACGGTTATTATCCATCATCCATTGCGCATCAAGCACATCATGTAACGTAACCATTCCATCCTTCTCATCCATTGCTCCACTCCTTACCCTTCGTAGCTCCTGCATATGTGCACCAACACCCAGTAACAGTCCCAGATGAACACAGAGCGTCCGAATATACGTCCCCGCTTCACAGCTCACCCAGAACACACCCAGATGCCTGTCGTTGTCAAACTCATATAACTTGCTCTCGTGAATCGTGCGGATACGCAGCTGTCGTTTGACAGCGGAGATGAGGGGCGGGCGTTGGAAGAGTGCACCCGTCAGCGTCTCGAGGGCGCGGGCAAACTGCGCTTCGCCGCCAGGGATTTTATCGTGTAGACGGATCACGCACACATACTCCTTTCCAGCGCCTAGATAGGATTTGACAAGGCGTGTCGCACGGTCAATGCAGACAATTAGACAACCAGTGACCTTTGGGTCGAGGGTTCCGCTGTGACCGGTCTTTTCAACTCTGTTAAAATAAAATTCCCACTGTTAATTTTGTGCCTTTAAATATTTCGATTCCCGTTTTCATTTTTTTGACCCTCCTTCTCTTTTTTCTCAACGTTTAAGGATAAACAGTCGGGTAACAACCAACCTCAATATCCTTTTCATCCATGCCACAACCTCATGACTAGATGGATTTGACGGCTTGCCCAGGTTAATAACTCCAGAACTAATATATGACTTCAGGTCGCGCTTCAGAGGTGTGCAGCCCTCACTGTCGGGGTGAAATGACCAGTTCT